AGCAAGCTGAATATAAACGCTGTAAGGATTAAACCATGAAACATTTGATCGCTGGCTTTGTGAAAACCACAAAATTATTGGAATTTTCCAGATTCTTTCATATTGTATGAGATCACTCGCTCAGATTAAAACGATCTTTCCCATTGAATATTTTATAGGATTCGTCGCTGGCAAGCGCGCCAAAGGCTTCATGAAAATCCACCGCTGCAGATTTTCCTGCATCGATGTTCTTCCAATCGAATAACATACGAGCGGAATACGATTTCCTCTTTTTACTGTTGCCTTTATAAAAAATGATTGGCGGATCTTCTCTTTTAAAATGATCTACGGCGATCGATAAACGGAATTTGGTAGTTCACGATTTATAAATGACAATTCGTAACTAATTTCTTAGTCGATACATTCATTCCAAAGTGAATTAGAGCAATGAACGAAAAAAACGAATTTCAGCAATTCGAGCGTTGTGTCATGAAATCGAACGTTTCAAGGTTTCTCTTCGCGATATTTTATTCTTCGCGATATTTTCGCGGTTAAATACTCCCGATTAATTATTTCTTTTTCTATCGCCAGAAAACATCATAACGAATATAAACCGAAATAACGAACTTCCTACTCTTTAGTTTATTTTTAACAAGCCGAAATTCTGTTGCTAAACTCGAATCGCTAAATTTCGATTCCGGTTCAACGTGCGACCCTCTCAAATTTCGCGTACATTTCGAAATAAAAAGACCTCCTCGGTCGCGGATATTTTCTAAATTGGAAATTATCGTTTCACCGTGGAAAGCTAATGTACATTAGTCGGCGCGGATCAACACAATGAGAGGTGCAGACGGGAAATAATTGACCGAATCTGTGAGAATAATTGCTGTCGGAGTGTCAGGGCTATACGGTTCGCAGAGATTCAATATCATTGGAATAATAAAACAAGGTACTTACCAAGGACACGATGATCAACCGGTGTACAGACAACAGAAATATGCGCGGAAGCTGCGATTCATTATCATTCACTGCATTTTAATCGCGACTAGATTAACCGAACTGATTTAATTGATCTGCAGCCGCGATCAACCGATTCTCCTTTAGATCAAAGCATTTTCAGTTCGACGAAAGAAACCAGCATCTTACATTCACGGAGTATCCACGTATTTTCATTGAGAGTAGCTCAATTTCAGAGTAGTTTAATTTCATTGGTAATTGTAATAATTGCAGTTAATCGAATTCATATTATCAGTCACATTCGATTGTTCGTCAAACCATCGAATTTCTTTTTATTTTATTTTTCCCATTGCCTTTCCTAGTTCATTTCTCCGGCGATTTTATCTCGACAAAATGCGCAATCATTATCGAATTTGCTATGATATTATATCGGGAAAGTGGAGAATCTTGTTGCCCGTCGCAAAGTAGATACACATCAAGTATTAAAACACGCTTCTCTCTATTCTGAAGAACGAGGCAAGTGAATTTATAGTTGTGCGCATCGCGATGCAATTTATTCATGATATTTTATCTTTTTACAGAAGAATCTTTTCCGAATAATCGCCGAGTAATTTACGTATGATAGAATCGCGCGAATAATCTAACAAATAATTTACATGTAATACAATCTCAGGAATAATCCATGGATATATTTCAAATGTACGATATGTTCCAAATAATAGACAAATATTGGAATCTTGGAAATAATCTACCAACGATCTATGACAATCTGTGCATAATAAAATCGTATGATTATTCTATGAATAATCTGTAAATAATCTACGAGTCTAATTCTATTAATCCTATTGATAATCTATCGTTTAAAGGCTTTTGCGGGATAATAACATTTCTGTATAAACTTTCTTATTTTTGTCTTTACGTAAAAAAACGTAAAATTTCGAACTTACGTCGGAACCTCGTTGAATAAAAAGATTTAATGCGTGGAACAATCGTGCCTTGTTACGACTGAGATTTTGATCGGATTCGTTCAATTTAACTTTCTGAATTACGACATGAATCGTCTAATTTATTTTTTACGAAAGCATTCTCAGTAAATATATGTTAAACGTTTAATAGCGGTTGAACGTTCGACAATGGAAAAAGTGAGCACAACAAACGGCAATCAACCGTGGAATAGATCCCGTTGTTCTCAAGCATTTCCGGTTTATTGTTAGCAGTTCGAAAGCTACATTGATGCAAAGAAGTTCGGAATACTTGGCAAATAAGGTACAGTTAACCCGTATGAAATCTCACGGACGCGACGGCATGGTAGTTCGGTTATTTTGATTAAAGTTAAGTTTTGATTAAAGTTTTACTACGTGAAATTTGTTTTCTTATAGAAAGTACAAACCTAAAGTAACGAGCAAATTCTGTGAACATTCGGTAGGGTAATATATTGCAATACTTACAATCATTAATTGAAACAAAATGAATATAAGAGCAAGAAATTTACGATAACTTAATAAAATATTTCAATATCAAATTCCAAATTCCGATTTGCTAACACGCAGCTTTAAAAAATAACCTTCTCAACGAGCAATCTTGCAAAGATTTACATTTTTATATATAACATTAAATTTGCCAAATGTAATTTACGATATATTAACTTAATGCGCCTTGCATAAAACTATCTAGAAACTATACTAAAAATAATTTCATAGATAACATTTCATAGCAAAAATACTACCAAATCAAATATCTTCGCGAAAAAGTAACTGTTAGGGATATCCCCTAGAAGCAACCGTTACTTTTTTAAACACAATCACTTTATTGTATCAATCTACATTTAATCCTAACCTAAGAAAACCAATAAGAATCGAGCAAAATCTGTTTCTATTCTATAACGATGTTTTGTTACAATGTCCTGTGGAAACATCGATATATTACGTTTACCTTCGTCCTGTTCGAATATTTAAGTTTATGTGAGGAGGAAAATTTACTTCGCGAAGAATTATAAACAAGACTCCTTAAATTAGAAGCAGCGGAAAATAAGCAAAGAATCAGTAAAAGAGAAACAGTATTTGAAAATATGTCACAACGGTCTAATAGCACATTCATAGAGGTCGTTAAAAGTACATTCATACTTAAATGGCGTCTAAATCAAAGTTTATATGCCTGCCAATATTCACATGCCGATGCAAATCTTCAATTACTTCGTACCAATATACTTTTTACGAATCATTTACCATGACACGACGTAGTACAGTAACATGTTACGAAAAGTTTAATTAACAAAAGTTATAATACTTGAAATGAAAACTAAGATTTCTTTACAATGGTTATTTTACCGCGAATTATTTAGCGTCGTTACCAGATTTATATGAGATGTGTCAGATTTAAAGAGGCTGGGATTTGATGAATCACCGTTTTGTCACACGAAGCTTCTATCATTATTTCGTAGCCGAACCGAAGCACGAGCACACAAACACCAAAACTGAGAAACTTTTTCGAACAAGAACTTTAAAAACTGCGAATCACGCGGCCGCGCATCAGCAACTGAACACTTCTAGTGATAGAAAACGTGACTCGAAGTGCGCGCGCAACCACTACCGGCATGATGGCGCTGCTGATGCTTCAACCCTTACCGCGCACACTCTGCGATTCGATTGGATTCAAATTACCGTCATAAATATACGCATAACCAAAATCAAAAATTCTTAATTTTATACGCAATCTGTTAGGAAACTACAATATTTAACAATATCGTACTAACACGTTCATTGCCATAAGACTGGTAATGCTGGAATTAATTAAAATATTTAAATTTAAGATATGGTCATATTTTCGTAAAATTTATAATATTTCTATTACAAATTTTGAGATTTTTAATATTATAGTAACAACTTAACTTAGTAAATGCATCATAAAATGCTTAAATAATTTTATTCTGTCAATAAGATACATATTATACATTATATATACGAATAACAATATATCGTATCGAAATGTGTATGCGGCAACCAACAGCATTTTGGCGCTACAAACAAATATACGAAATTCAAACATATTAACCCGCCAAACATATTAGCAAACAACAACCAAATTGTATTTAATTGTCTCGATTATTTAAATGATATTTATCGAGCACTTAGAAATGTACATGAAATAAAAGTTTTCGAAAAATAACGTAAATAATAATTTAACAAAGAGGCAATGTTTAAATTTATAGAACGTGTAGCTTGCTAGTAACATTCACGCTTAATAACAAATCGTGTTTCAAGTCTTTAACGTTTTTAAACTGCAGTTAAGTAGTATTATCGAGTCGCAAGAATCTTTTTAACTGGCGCTGTTCGTACAAGGGCATGTTCTCGAGGGTGACAATTTAACTGCATAAATTTATATGTCGAGTCATTGTCGTTACTGTCAAATCTGAGCCGTTTGTCATTACAGGAACACGTGAGGCGTACTACTAATAGTCACGTGAATAACGGCAATCTTTTTTCACAGCTGTATAAGCAGATACACGTGTCAGCGTGTTCTTTATTAGATACATGGTTCGATTGTTCGCGTGACGCAATTGTGACCCTATATATAGTTTGGGATTGACTTTATATACATAAATATTATACTATTATACTATATATATTATACATAAGTATACAAATACCTACTTGTTACATATATTTGAAAATCTAATAAAATTTACTGTATTTAATATATCACATCATAATAAAATAACTAGCAAAGTAGAAGTAGTAAGAAACGTTCAATTTATACTAAGCATCAATAGGTATTCTAATACCTGTAACCGGCAATGTACGTACTATGAAAATTGGATCAGTTTCCGGAACGAGATAAAAACAGCTACGGTAAAAACTGAGAGCACGCTTGTGATTCGTTATTTAGCAACGTTTCACGGTCGAAATTTTATATTGCGTGAAAATTGATCCCCGTCTTTTTATTTTTAGTTTGCTTAGTTTTTATCATATATGTATATATATACGGCAAAACATAGAAACATAGAAACATAGAAAGAAATGAAGGAATCATAAATGAACAAGTGGAGATACAGAGCGTGAAAGAACTTTCATAAGCATCGTTAGTTTATTAACAATGTTACACGCACAATCATACATAAAACAACCTTGATTATAGATATTATATGCCGCTCGTTTACAGAAACGAGTCTCGCTATATTATTTTAAGTCGTTATCTGTATGTCATGTCCGTGCTATGTGCCGGTAAATCGTGTCGATTATACAAAACCGACGATATTACTTTACAAAACACAAAATAATTTAACTTACAAAAAAAAAGAAAGAAAGAAGAGGGAGATATGAAAGACCGGAAGGAAGTCAGCGGAAGAAGTAGAAGGTAGTGGAAAGATAGAATAGAGAACATAAAAAAATCACTAACGCGTCCCCCTCCACATATAAAAATTACAAATTACATCCAGACACGCTGGATCTTTAATACTATACATCTTATAAAAGTGTTTTCTTCCTCTTCTTTTCGTTTTTTCTCCTTACAGTAAGGAACAAATTAATATCTACATATCCTTAGTATCGTTGAAATTTACATGGTATTCTTCACTATCCCGTAGACGATTCTGTAATAATAGTTCGAAGTTCACAGAAAGGGAAAAGAAATTATCGACAAATATCGTCTACGCATCGACACTAAAATTTTAATACTTCTTCCTCCTTTTTGAATCATAGACTATAATATTACCTTCTTTCTTCTAAGGCTCTTTTATCTCTTTCTCTCTCTTTTGCTCTCGCTTATTTAAAAAATCGATCGTATTGGAAAGATTAAGAGAATTGGTAGTTGACGATTTTTTTCTTTTTTACAATTGTATTTCGACATCGCGCGCACGCGTATGTATATAGGTATTCGTATATAGGTAAATAGGTAAATAAGTATGTCTATGGGGGTGGGATAAAAGGATAGAAACAATGAAGATAGATGCAATGGAAGTTCATTCGTTCGCAAAATATTTTCAAAAATGTACCTTTCAATCTACAGAAATTTCTTCGTTTCATTTTAATTTCCTTTGTATGCAAAATCGTTACAAAACGCAGCAGCGCTTAAACAGTAAAATCATAAGTAAAATATATAGTCGTTTCATGTTGGCTTAATTTCAATTTATTTTTTACTTAATACACGAGATTCGACGAATCCCGTTGCTGCTAATAAACCTTTCTTTTCCTCTTTCATTTTTTTTATTCGTCCACTGACTTCAAAAGTCATTGGAAATCAAGTTCTTCTTTTGCGCAGCTTAAAAGGCCGCTTCCGTGGTAAAGGATACGAACGAGAAAAGAGAAACGGAGTATATATATGTATGTATATATAATATAATATCATGATAGACGTGATGGACAAAAAGAAAGTATTATATTGACTATATTCTCGTGGATCGAATCGAAAGCATCTCGTCCCCTTTTCTCGTTCCTAGGTTGGTCCACGAAGAAGTGCTTCCCCGTAGTCGAAGAAGGTGGGAAGTCTATTTTTCTCTCTCTATTATAATATTTTGTCTCATTATGCATCACAATATTTCCTGCATTATGCTCTTAATTCGCTATTTGATAGCCGGATCGCACGCTAATATTTTTTCGCTCGAAATTATCGTCCCCTCCCTTTAAACAACAGAATATCAAGCGATGTCTAGGTACGATAAATCGACGCTTTGTTTTTCTTCTTTTTCGTTTATTTTTTGAAGTAGTTAATCGAATCGACTAATTTTCTTCAAACAAACTAATCGCGTCGATTAACAATTTTTGATCGATGGATCGACTCGATCTTTAAACGCTCTCGGAGATTCTCCTGGTATTCGCAGTACAGAAAACTAAAGCGAAATCGAGAAAGATCGACGAGGCGTTTCGATTACGATCAACGGTTTAGAAAAATTTTTCCAATTTTATTTCAAGGGTGCATATATCACTGTAAAATGCGAAGAATTTTACTGTATCACCTTTTTTTTGTATACGTAAAAAATACATACAGCACTGATTTTTACCATAAACAAAAAAAATAAAGAACAAGTTACGACTTTGCGTAATTGAAAACAAAAATAAAAAATTCTTCTTCGGAAAAAGAATGTACATCAAAAAATTTGTACCGCCATCAATTCGAAATTTCTCTGATAAACAAAAATATACAAAACTTCTCGTTTAATAGAAAGAGCGATTCATCTGACAAATATACAATATATCATTTTCTTCCAATTTTACATTATGTGTTGATATGTTCCCTTACGAACTGGCAAGTTTCAACAACTTTTCTATAACGCCTTTCGGCGATGAGGCGCTGTTTGGTATTGTATCCGTTTTACCATCTGAAGTCAGATCTCGCAACGAATTAATCTCGATTGGCACAGAAAACTGCTTACAAGTGGAGGATACACATGAAACTGTAGTCAAACTTTCAATACGCGAAGCAGCGCTTTATAGTTTGAAACAAAAAAAAAAGGAAAAAAATTATTAAAAAATTAAAAAATATCTCATGATAAATGGAATCGAACGTCAAAACAGAAGACATGACGAATTTTCTAATTCCATGTATACATTCTAAAAAAATAAATATAATAATTACAGAAAATTATCATCACCCGTAGTAGCAATTAAGCGTTTCAGAAGAAATTTCGTTAGTTTTAACGATTACGATCCGCAAAACGAATCGCTGTGTTCTATAATGCTTCTGTTTTTTCTACAATGAATTTCTAGTTTTCTCTCATTTCTTTCTTATCGCTTTTTTGTATCCTTAAAGAAATAACTGATTGCGGTATCAATCTAGCAGTGTACTTTCGTTTACACGCATACACATTCTATACTTTGCATGTAAGTAATGCCTATTTTCCAAATGTATGAAATATGCCCGACCAGAAAATTATGTCGCAATTCTTGAGACATCACCTTAGGCTTAGGGTTTCATTAATTTTCCTTTATCTCCTCCGGATACTCGTGTCGTCGAGGCACATTATCGTTTCGCTCACTCACTCGCTTCTATTATTTATCTCGCTCTCGCTCTTTCTCTCTCTCTCTCTCTCTCTTACTCGTGCGCGCTTGCGCTCGCTCTCTCTCTCTCTCTCTCTCTTTCTCTCTCTTTCACGCAATTCTACGCATTTCCGTGGTACCCTGACCCGCAATGCGATTTATCCTTACAGGAAATGAACTTTTTGTACTATCAATAACGTCGAATGCGCGGGCAAGGTATCGCAGTTATGCGCGGCTATCCATGGGCTTGTTATTGCACCACTATATCGAATCGATGATTAATGCAGTATGCATACACTATTTCATACATGACATTTTTACACGGAAAATTTCACATTTTATTTGCATTTCACTTTCGATCTTATTGTTATATTCGATACTTCATAAATTAACAATAATTATAATACGCATTAATCTTTCCAATGAGAAATACGGGAAAGTAAGACAGTATGTGAATAAATTCGTTTTCATCCCCGAATTTTCGAGACATAAATATAATTTATCTCTATCTAATATCTAATAATAGTACTAGACCATTGGTAATCAACGAAATTCGTCTCTTGCGAATGAACGGGGATAAAAATCATCGCTGAACGAAATTGCGTATGCACACACAGATTCCTGTTACACGGGAATAATAATCGAACGCAAGATAAAAATTCGCACTGTCCGTCGATCGATGTTACAACGAACGTTTTCTCGCTTATTCTCTTGATTCATTGGAAAAGCAATAATTCTTTTTCGTATTCCACATTATTCACAAACAGGATGATGATCCACGGTTAAAAATTGCATTGTTACGCAATATGTCTACCGTTTCTTTTTATTTCGTTTTCCTCTTTTTTCCCGTCTTACCTTCACTTTTCTTCTTTTCCTTTCTTTTTTCTTTTTGATTCCTGATCGTATCCTCTTGACGGTATATATGTCCACACGCGATATTGTTGTTCTCTTTTCCGTTTAGTATAAATGTCTTATCCGGTGACGTCGACGCACGTAGACAATTTAAAAATTCAATACATACGAATATATAGTTTCGTTTAATACGAAATGCGTACTTAATGAGGATTTCCCTTAACGATTAATTTTACGCGTATTAATATGTGATGCTTATGAGTTTATGAGCTACCATACTAAAGGAAAAACATACACCACTGAAAGATTATATCGTTACTTTATCGCGATCGCCTTCATTATATTCGGATCGCCGAAAGCTACGTTTGCACTGTGCATACGTTCAATGGAGACACAATGTTCAAATTAAGCGAGTTACTTGACATTATATGTTAAACGTTAGCCTTTCCACTTTCTTTTTCCTATTAGAAATGAATCATCCTTGCATGCGGTCGCATTGCAATGAACATCGTTACACCGCCATTCCATATATAAATAGTAAAGCACATTAAAAACATAGCAGTAAGCTAAGTAATATGCAAATATTGGAAAACCTCCACTAATTCTATGCAAAGTATAGCTTGTAGGATACCATTCATTAAAACTAGGACTTATCGTTATTATAATTATAATTCAGTTGCTTTTCTCTTTTCTTTTTATTTCACAAATCTTTCTTCGTTTCTATCGATTTTTATGTGCAACATGGCTATGGGTTCTGCTCCATTTACTAACAAATTTGCTTTCTTCGATTGACCGAAAACAAATTTGTCCAGAACCATATTTCCGCGAATACTATATATTTATAGAAATGAAACTATTCTTATCAATAGTTATAATTTATGTACAATTTAACAATCTGGTTGCAATAACTTTTCTTTTTCTCTCTCTCTTTCTCCATCTTTTTCCCCTTCTCTTCTTTCTCTCTGTCTCAAATTTCAATGATATTAGATAAATTACGTCACAAAATTATATCGAGCCAACTTATTATGCCCTGCCGTGTCACATTTAATGATGGAAACAAGTCAAAATGATTTTTTCTTCTCTCTTCGCTGCGTTTCTGCTTTGTACATGTATTTACGTATCAAACCATTTCAAACAGAATTTCTTCGAACGACTACTAATAACGCTAACCGTGCATCTCGTGCAATTTTGCCAAAATACTAGTTATCACTTCCACGCGCGCATTAATTCGCATAGACTGGTTAAAATTTATTTCAAAATGGATCAGAAATTGAAATAACTTTTACCAAATCTCCTCCACTTAACATATCGATAGTTCAACCAAGTAGATTGGCAAATTTCCCGATTATTTCTGCACGCAAGATACACGTGGACGTTCTTCATTTCTATTGAAAGGTATAATACGATTCCATGAATTCGTGCCGTTATCATTCGATTTATGTTCCTCGTTTTCCTCCTTCCTTCATTTACGGCTACGAATTTTTATTCAAGAATATATTGTGTATGTATAATATATATATAATGTGTGCGTGTACGTGCATGTGTGTGTATGTGTGTGTGCGCGCGCGCGCGTATGTGTGTGTAAAAAATCATTTTTACTTGTTAAATCTTGGTGGCCTCCTCAATCGTGGTATCAATTCTGCCCTAACCGTTCTAGCATAATTTGAAGCAGCATACTGATCTGTTACGGCGATAGGACTTTGCAGGCTTTGTATGAACATTGGTGACTCTTGTAGTTGTCCTACACCCGCTTGATACTGATACTGACTATTCGCTATATCCGCAGTCGGATAATGATTAGGTTGCACGAATTGAGGAGGATTGTCGTATTGCGGATACGGAATAGAACTCTCTGCAGAGAATTGAGGGATTACTGGGTTCACATTCACTGGTGTAGTTGCAAAACTGCCAGGATCATATGTTTGATATTGATTCAGCTGTCCAATTTGCGTTGTACTGAATGGAGGTGATTGAGGAAACTGAGATGTGTCAGGAAATAGCACACTTGCAACGGTTGGCTGAGGGAAGCTTTCCGGTCTGGCATAAGGTGACATATTCGCCGTGACATTGCTTAAATTTTGAACATTTGGAATACCAGCGATCTGTGATGTACCATAGCTATGGAAGGTTTGCCTACTATGATCAAGATCCTTCGCACCACTTTGCAAAGAACTCGTTACATTCAATTTCGATTTGGAGTTCGGACCACCAATATCATTATGCTTGGTTCTTGCTTCTGTGACAAAAGGATGGCGAACATTCACAATGCTCTGTGGAGCACGCAGTGGTGGAAAATTGATCGGTGTCATCTTCGACGCAAAATTCTGTTGCTCCAATGCTTTCCTAGCTACGGCAAATGCGGTGTTATCGTTCCGTGACGCTGGTCGAGATTGATGTGTACTGGAAGCAGTTCCATGGTTTTCCCTGTGCAACGTTTGAACCGACGACTGGTTTACGAACCTCGATGATAAGTTGTTCATAGTTGTGCTATTCCTTGTTTTGTAATCCTGATTGTTTACAGATGATTCTTTGTATTCGGATTGTATTTGATAATTCTTCATTTTCGAATCAATTTCATTGGAAAACTTTTTAGCGGGGTAATCTTTAGACTTAGATGTACTCTCGTGAGAAACATTACCACCAACACATGTTGCAGTAACACCTCTTACACTACTGAAAGTAGAACTAGATTGATTTGCGGTTACGATTGACGTATTCTTTGTTAGTTGTTCGTTAGATTTTAAATTCTCGTTGTTTCCACTATTCTTTTTTATAGATGAATTCATCCTATTTGAAGAAACTGTAGCAGTTGATGTTGTGGTGATTGTACTCAATGTAGCATCTTTATTCCCCATTGCAGTGTTTACTGCTCTGACGGATGGCTTTGATAATCTATTTTTGTTCCCCACGTGATCGAGCTTTTGACTTTTACTCTTATCCGCTACTTGATTGTTTGATAAAATTTTGGAATCTGCACTGCTATTTTGATTTTTGGACAGTAAATTATTATGTGATTTACAATTGATAGTGACAGCTGGCAGGAGCAAAGCGCTGGCTCACTTTTTGGTCATGATTTTAAGATATTCCAGAGCGTTTTGAGCAGCACTAGCTTGAGCATCTTTACTAGTAACACCACAACCATAGCAAACTGCTACTGGCAAGGTAGACAACTGCACAAGGCACTGGCATTTACCTGTAATAAGGAGGGAAACATTCATCTAATCCAATCCATATATATTTAGATATAATGGAAATAATAATCAAAACATTACTTTTTATTTATAATTCTTCAATTAATGCTCCATTTATAATGAACAATATGAAAGAAAGCAACGCAAGTATTAGAACATTCAGATAAATAAAATATGATATAGCTGATATATGAAGATAATTGGTAAACTTAAAAATTTTGAACATTTAAATAAGATAAAAGACTATTTTAAGAAAGATATATGAATAATACCTAAATATAGATTACAGATAATTGTGATGTATAATAAATATGTCATAGGTTATACACATGTTTTATAGAGTTCTTTTTTTGTAAGAGGTGCATATTGATAGAAATTATGGCTGGAATAAAATCTGCTAAAAGTGCTTTACGTAAAAAAATGAAAGATATTATTACACAACTTAATACTGAAGAGAAACAAAGACAATCAATGAAGGTATTTGATAAAGTAAGTATATTAAAGAAATAATCAAGGTATTCATAATATGAAGAAGAGGTTATGTTACATCTTTATCTGAAACTCTTTATGACAAACATATTTCTGCATGCACAGCTATGTTCTCTACCACAGTTTCGAGAAAGCACAAGAATTTCCTTATATCTAAGCACAAAAGATGAAATTGACACAATTGAAATATTAAAATATATATTTGAAAGAAAAAAGGTCGTATTTATTCCTAGGTATAAAGGAAAAGAAATGGAAATGGTTAAACTACTTTCGATGCAAGATTATGAAACACTACCATTAACCAAATGGAATATTAAACAACCAAATGTTAATGAACTTAGAGAAAACGCATTACAAACTGGTAAAACCTGAAATAATTAATGTATACAATCATGCTCCATTTTAGATTATAATATTATTGATATTTTCCAAATTCATTAAAACCAACAAGATACAAAATTTAATATTCTATAAAATTATATATTTTAGGTGGATTAGATTTAATACTTATACCAGGTGTTGCATTTACTGCTAATGGTAAGTAAGCTTAGTTTGTATAGATTATTTGGAAAAGCTTTAATTTTTAAAGATTACAGTAATATGTATTATCAATTAGGAAAACGTTTGGGACATGGAATGGGTTATTATGATAAATTTTTGGACTTATGTTTAAAGAAACAACAAAAAATACCGCACTTAATTGCACTGGCATTTAATGAACAATTGTGTGAAGATATTCCTACATCTGAAAATGATATACTTTTGGATCTTGTACTTACAGAAAAATAATTTATTATGAGAAAATTTACGTTTTGTATTCATGTTCTTAATTTAACTGTATTTTCTAATAAATAAGTTAAATATAAAAATACATTAACTAATATAAATTGATGAAATTTAATTTAACAAAAAGAAAAATGAATAACTTACCACTGATAGACTTTTCCTCAATATCAACATAAGTTACTTCAAATTGCTGCTCTGAAGCAATTTCTTGCAAGAACTGTACCAAATTTACATCACCATCATTCAAACATGTATTCTATAACAAAAAAGAAACAATGAAGCAAATTTAATGAAATTAAAAAATCTAATCAATTGCTTTTTTATTTTTATACTTTGAAACAGAATAAAACCAATGTGTTTGAATTAATTGTATTACAAACCTGTAATTCAAAAAGTTTAACACCAGTGGATGACTTCAGACTTTTATGAAATTGTGAAACCTTAAGGCTATGAATAGTAGTTAATGTTGAAATTTTGCTACCTCTCAAATCAGCATAACGAGCATTCACATTTGCATTTCTTTGTAAAACCTATAACGGACAATTAATATACGTAAGAATTTATTTAAATGCATATCACTGAAGAAAGTTCTCCAATGACTGCACATATATTAAGAGTAAAATGAAGTGGAAATGATCCAAGCATGTTATTATTAAAAACATTATGCTGTTGTGTAAATGACTTACGATACAAATACACATATAAAATGTGTAATTGAAATATTAATAATTATCCGTTATAGATTCAGGGTGATCAGAAAGGTAGCTCATATTTCATAATACTGTTTCCAGTGCCAAATCACTTCCACTTCACTAAACATACACACACATACACAACAAAAACAATACACATACAAATACACAACTTATATAAACAATATTTTAATATTATTGCATCATACCAAATGTATAAAAAATATATAAAACTATACTTTATAATTTTATAATAAATTTATTTTATATATACATAAGTAAACAAAATAGTCTTACCTCATCTTCATCTATATTAGAGTTTTCTGTGTTCATATAATGTAAGGCTTGCCACATCTTGTGAGCTGCATGCCTTTTTGCAACTTTCTTACTTTTTCCTTGGCCAACTTCCCGATATTTTAAAACAGAACAGACAATTGTAAATTGCCTCTCATGTGGCAAGCCCTCTTCATTTTCTATTGTATACTTTGGTGGAGGCCAGTGACGTGACATGCACATTTCTTGTAATGCTCCAATTGGATTTGTAATTATTTTTTCTTCTCCATATCCAGATAATTCTTGTAAGTTCTCAGAACTGTATAAAATAAACTATATTAAACACATAAATATACAAAAAATTATATACAAAAAATATATGTTTGTTAATATATATTTGTTACTCTGATAGATTATTTGGAAGTGGAGAATCTGGTGATTCACTATTTAGTCTACACAGTTTATCCAATACAGCCCTTGCAGCAGCATGCTTTGCCTCCTTTTTTGATTTTCCAGTCCCCATTGCTGAAACAATTGGATCTACTTCAATCATCAGATACTTATCATTTTACACTTTTGCTTGATGTAAATGTGTAATTAATTTCTATATAAAAGTAAATTTATAATACTATACTAAATAATACTAAAATAAATAAAACAAACATTAACTTAACCTCTATTGAAACTACGTGTTCAACTCAAAGTTATATACTTTACTTATATTTAACAATTATGACTTATAATTAAGTAAAAATATATATTATAATGCTAGTTTCAATTGCTATCTTAGAATGGATCTATCCTGATTTAAGTCAATGAGTTGAAAAATAAATATTGCATTATCAAAATTAGATACAAACCAACAACATCAGCAACAGTAACACGGTAACGAAAAATAGGCTCATGGATAGCACCCTCTACTTGTATTAACTCATACTTTGGTGTCGTGCCCCTACGAGAAAGCAATTCCTGAAGAATAGAAACTGGTGTTTTGTTGGACAATGATTTCATCTCCAATTGAGCGGCCTCACTTATTGGACGTTTTCCTATCATCAAACTGTGTAATGATGATCGAACTCGATTACGCCGACTAACATTATTTGAGTGGTTAGGAATTCCACCTACACTGGCCATCATATTAGGCCCAACCTGTTGCGGTTGATGTATTTCCTCCATTTCTGCAATCTATAAATTACAACATATTTTTATATATATAATCTTTAATAAAAGTTCGATTTAAAAAACGTAATAAGTGATAAAATCATATCTTTTATTTATAACATATTACAATTATCAAACATGAAATTGTGTATTCATTCAATTATACAGTTTCCTTTAAAACATTACTTATTATCATTCCATTAAGTTCTATATCATAAACTTCATATTATGAAACAAACAATCAAAGGGTTTTAGATTAATGAAAGATGTCAAGCATTGGAAATCATCCAAATTATTTTTATTTACTAAATATTCAAATCAATAACCCTTATTGTAAAGTCATAACATAAGGAGATTTTCTTTGTGAAAAAGCAAACTTTCTGATAATATGTCATATCATATTATTAATATATATTTTGTTCATCTATCCTTTATATAATAACCTTACAATCAACGAAAAATAAAATAATAAGTTATTACTAACGTGTGAATCCATATTGATATTTTAGTAAGCTACTTAACGACGAGCACAAGATCTATGCAGTATAAAACGGTAGGAAAACCGGCTGGCGGCCATGATTGTTATAAAATTCATTGATTAATTCTAGTATGTAAGGCATAGAAAATTCAATAACGAAATACGAAGGTTAAGCTTTATTGCGATTTCACCGAGAACGGAGCCAATGACGACTTTCATCACTGACAGGGTTCTATTTAAAACGATGATAAAGAAGAACATAGAGCAATCGGTCACAGTATCGTCCGCTACACAAAATCTAAAAAGTCACTACCTTTACTCACAATTTTCAAACGTTCTATATATATTAACTGGCTCCTTAACAGGCCAATTCCTATACGAAAAGCGAATCCCGCTTTTTGTGACCGATCCAAGTCTCACAAAAAGCTTGATCCGTTTGACGACAGAAAAATGGTTTACTGACTACCGGAGAATCTTCCTCGTTTCTGATTCTGCCGCAGTATGCAATCTGAACAGTTTTTATAGACGCAGGAAACACGCGCATCTTTCTGCGCAGGTGCATTACTGGTGTGGTTTTATAGAAACAAATGCACGTTTTACCGTATTTAAAATACAATAAATTTTTTTTATCTAGAATGTAAAAATACTAGAATATCTCTCTTTCAACTATACAATATAATATAATACATAACATATATAAGAGGAGATACAATAAACATACAAAACATACTATTCCAATGAAAAATATAATGAATCTTTCTTTTTCCGAAATTCCCATTAATGACTTTTTAATTTGATATTTACTGTAATTTGAACTTATATATGATTTAAATATAATAGTTTCATATATTTTAGTGCGTTTTATTAATACAATGCGAATTTTAACGAAATTCCTTGAAGTTTGAGTCAAATGTCTTTATAAATAATAATTCATACGTTTAATAATAATTCATACGTAATAATAATTCATACATTCATACGAATTCATAATTTCATTTAATATACTATGAAGTAAAAACAAAAATCTGCACATTATACAACAATCTGTAGGGACACTGAATCTACAATATCATTTATGTTTGAATTGGCGCTATTTTGAGAAATACACCGCCATTTTCAATTTTCACTATCGTTTCTTGGCAACACCGGATGTTGGTATGTTTCGCATTTGTATACCACCTAGTATCATCACTTCCGGCTGTTACCCGCTGAAACGGTCTAAAGACTACGCCATTATTGCATACGGACGCTACGGTGCACTATTCCAAACATTTGGCCGGTTTTTGCTACATTTATCCTATTCATTCATAGTTGAAGATCTATAATGAGTGATATCGAGGTAAATATTACATTTGCCTTTTTTAAATATTACTTTTACGTGTAATTTTATACATATTGTGGCCGTAACGACATGCGGCTGATCACAGCCATTATCGATCCATCAACGTTCAACTATGTTTCACGTTTATATTACCATTTTAATGCTCTTATTTTACTTTTAAACCATTAAAAATTTGCAGATTTATTGATGGTGGTGTTATTAACCTTTTTATTTTTATAAAATATATTTGTTGACCCAACTAATTTATTGTAATTCTGTTTTAACTATAATTTAGAAGGTTAAGCGTTTGAATCTCCATGATTATTAAAATTAACAATATTCGGAAAATTCAGAATATAGTTCAATTAATTTACAATATAAATTATTTTTTTATTTCATTTCTATATAACATTCTTGAATTTATAGTTTAAAAAGTAAAAGAAACAAATAAATTAAAATACTTGCAAAGAACTAAAATTATATTCTTTATTCTAGCGGAGTGGTAGTCGTAGTGCAAGTCCTAGAAGACCAAGAACAGCAGATGGAGGTTTAAGAGACTCACGTTCACATTCAAGATCACGTAAATCACGGGAACGTAAAGAATCTCACCGACCAGTGAAAGAATATTCACGATCACGAAGCCGTTCAGTTTCAAGAGGAAGAAAGTCATATCGCAGTAGCAAATATGCTAGTGCAGGTCACCGTGGTAGTAGCCGCAGTCGTAGTCGTTCTCCTTATAGGGGTGGTCGATATTCTAGAAGCAGGTCTCGATCATACTCTCGTTCCCGTTACTCTCGTGAACATGATAGGAACATTTATCGTTCACACTCTCGGAGTCCAATGTCATCTAGACGACGTCATGTTGGAAACAGAGATAATCCATGTCCTTCCAGATGCTTGGGTGTTTTTGGGCTTTCCATTTTTACAACTGAACAACAAATACATCACATTTTCTCCAAATATGGACCTGTTGAACGTGTACAAGTTGTAATTGATGCAAAGGTACTAGAATATTAATGTTTTATAAACTACAATATAATATTTACATACTAACATACGTTAATTGTGGAAAGATCTAACATTAATGTTTACATATACAACCCCATAACTATTAAAAAAAAGAAAAGGGGAATAGTAAATTATACCAGAGATTTAGAACGTTCATGCATTAAGTTTGTGTAAAACGTTAAAGGCCTCTGGTCACATTTTATTTTATCTAAAAACCAAACAGAACAAAATTTTATATATATTTATTTTCCATATTTTAGACTGGACGATCCAGAGGATTCTGTTTTGTGTATTTTGAATCATCTGAAGATGCTAAAGTAGCG